AAAAATTTAATAAAATTCTTCGTCAGATGTCAATTATTTTCAATTTTTAAATAAAATTTCTCGATAGAATTTAATTATTTTGAAAAAGTTTTAAAAAATTCTGAGAAATTCAATTATTTAAAAAAATTTTTGAATAAAATTCTTTACAAGAAATTAATTAATATTATAAATAATAATATTTTTCTCCGGAATTCAATTATTTTTACAAATAAAATTTTTCACAGTAATTCAAATCTTTAAAAAATATTTAATAAAAATTCAATTTTAAGAAATATTTAATTATTTAATAAATTATTTATTTTTGTATTTAAATAATTGAATTCTCGAAAAAAATTTTAGTAAAAATTTATTAAAAAATGAATTTCACTTAAAATTAAAAATTATAATTGAATATTAAAAGCATTATAGCATGAATTTTTATAGAAATAATTGAATTTTGATAAGGGTTCAAATTAAAATCTTCGAACATTTGAATTTATAGTTACAATATTCTTATGATATAAAATAATGATTTTATCACTCTGTCATCTTAAATTTATTATAAAACATGAAGAAATCGATTGCTTCGAGTCGAAGACTCGGAGTGATCGATTTCTTCATGTTTTATAATAATTTTTTAAAAGTTGTTTAATTTCAGAAGGTTCGGATTTGAAAATCCAAACAAATTAAATATTTATTTAAAAAAGAAGTTATTGATGTTTTCGAATAATTTTACTTTTGAAGAAATTCGTAAATAAATGTAACAGAAAATTTTTTTGAGTATCTAATAATTTTTGGAGTGAATCAGTATATATTCTTCAGGGTCAGGGAAAAAGTCAAAATTTTGTCTGGAAATCAGGGAAAAACAGAATTAAATTTTTGTGGCAACCCTGTTTTCTTCTTCCTAACAAAACATTACTTTTCAAATATATAAGAACATAATTATAATTGAATGCTTGGAAAAATTGAAATCATTAATAAGGCATGTTGACTGTTCGGGAAAAAATAATGCAAAGTTCTATTTTATTTTGATTAGAAATGAAAATTATTTGATTGAAAATATATAATTAAATGACTGAGTTGACATCATTGTAATGTATAAATGATTAATGTAGAAACTGATTTAGAGTAAAGTCCTTAGTCTTTTATGTTTCTGGTATTTTTGTATTTGTTTATGGTGGTGTTTCTGTTTCTCTTTAAGCGTGCTTCGCAAAGTTGTGCTAGACCCAATGTTGAGAGCGTTGTGTCGAGACTATAAATCTCTGGCTATTAAGACAGTGGATCGCCCCGTTTGATGATCCGTGCCATGGCTCACTGTCATTTTTATACAAACACACTTATATGCAAGCATTTAACTTATGTAAATAAGCACCAGAAAAAATTATATTTTAAGTTTAATTTAATTTTTCTTTTTCCTCTAAAAAGAGAAACCAATATACCTTTTGTCACATTTTTCACAAACTTAATACTTTTTTCTCACAGGCTATATGTGAGAATCACAAGCTATGCTTATTTTTCATTAATCAATAAAACATGTTTTATTTTTTCACCAGATTGTCATTAAATCAATAAAAGTGTGGGAAAAAAAACGATGAAAAAAAGTTAATGACCTTATCTAGCCTTTATAAAATTTATAAAATTACAATTGAAAATATGTTTCTTTGAATCGACCGTCGATCTCTTTTTGCTAGAATCTTTGTGTTTTAAACGATAATGCTCATTAGATTCGTGTCGATGGAATTAATCGACGATATTATACAACTTAACCATTCACTTGTTGATCACTTGACTTGTTGTTAGTCGAGTAATAAATAATTTAATATGCGTAAAGTTCAAAAGCAATATTATTCCAAACAAGTTAATAAATTCTAATTGTATATAAGAATTTATTTTAGCTTACTTGATGAAGAGACCGCAGTTCAATCACCCTCACGAAAATAATCTTCACACACCTGATTGCTTACGTTTTCTAATAGAATTACCATGGAAGGCTATTAAATATTTATCCAAGTCTTATCTTATTGTTTAATTTTCAACTAAAAATAAAGAAATTTAATAAATGTAAATTAATTCTAAATAATTCCTAGCAATATTAATGATTTTGTCCAGCTTCAGGAATATTGTAAATCATTAGTTATATTTAAATTTAAGGACATTGTTTTCCACACTCCAATTGGACCAGCGTTTTAGAGTGTGGAAAAGAATGTCAGAATTTTACTCTGTGCGAAGAAAGGGTCAACAGATCGTACAGTACCTGTAAAAGCTAAATTGAATAAATGGCTAAATGCAAAACCACATCTTACATCGTATTATAATTGGCAGCAAGATTTATGAGACGACACAACATGTTGACGGTTACTTGGATTTCTGTCGCTTTAATGGAATGAATTAAAGCCACTATAATCACTGGAGAGTGGTGTACCATGAATGACAAAAGTTGTAATTAACGTGAAAGACGTTTTGCATAATAAAGTCATCGCATTGTATCGATGGTGTCTTTATCTTGATTAAATAGGTGGGGGGGGGGGGGAGTAAGAGACCATAACTTATACGCGTATATCTTTAGAAGACGCCTTCAGAAGAGAAGGATAAACTCAAAGAGAGTTGATGGCGAGAAAACGTAAATTACGAATCATCAGTAAACTGGCTTCATGCGAACCTCACTCTCTCGTTAATTATAACTGATACAATTATTTATTAAGTTCATGGGACTCTTAAATTGTAAATATTCTCCGCGGCTTCTTCAAATATTTGATTCACGCGTTAGTGAATATTATCTCGATATTATACGCGTGAACTTGGTTTATGCAAAGATGAAGTTATACCTTGTTTCTGCGAGATTGTTTCCAAGAGTCAATTCGTGAATGCAAAGAGCTTTTCATATCATTCATATTAGCAATACATTTAATATTTATGCAGCATTTGATTCTGACGGAGTGCCAATAAACTCGTTGACACCGATTGACTCTTCTCGCTGACGCGTCGGGTCTGAGCGAAAGACTGATTCTTTTGCACAGTTTGATTGTACTGGGTTCTAAAAGCACATGCCCGTATACGTCACGAAGATACGTGCTATGTATTATGTATCTCGGGCATGAATCACGCACATAACATGGATCTGTATCCTCGCGCGACTCACTTACATACCTCTCTGGCATCCTATAAACGCTTCTCCTATAAATAACGCCATCTTTTCAAGTTTCTTCAGAGCTTTTTCTTCATCTGCGCGCTTAATCTCTCGTCTGCATCCCCCTTTCTACTCATCTTTTCAGCGGATCCAGAAGTGCGATGCGCATAATTAATATCACGTGAAGAGCGATCACAGCAAAACCATTTTCAAGCTCGCAGCCATTGAATTTGCAACTTTTCGTAGGAATCATTTATATAACTATATTGTGCAATCTTCCTCCGTCGCAAAAAGTAACTTAATGATTTACTTAATACTTAACTTAATGATTTATAAATTTATTAAAAAGTAAATCGATTCTAATTTAATGGGAAAAATCATTAAATCGTTTATCCAAAAATCCATCTCTGAAGTGTCGGTGCGCAACCCATATGGTATCAGTATATAGAGAACGCTTTGTTGAAGAACGGACTTGGCACCATTTTTATTGCCCACTGGATTTAGCGTTGCGATATAGGCTAGATACCATCTCCTCTTCACGAAGTGAGTCCTGAAGTGCGACTCGTTTCGTTGCTCCCTTTCCTCTCGATACTTGAGTCGCTCAATATAATGCGTTCAACTGTTCAACCCACTTGCGGTGTGGAGCCACTTCAATTCTCCAGATCTTTTTTTTATCAATTGAAATGGCCCTTTTTCTTTCTCAAGTTTCGTTGAATTTCTGATTTTGGTGAAAAATATTTTTTAGTTTCCTTCAAAAAGGAGAATTTTTTTTCATTTTTAAAAAGAAAGGAGGCTGCAGTGAAAATACCCCTTTCATTTATTGCGGTAGCTGGGGCACTCAACTATTATCAACGCTTCTCAGTTCTCTATCCTTTCTTTATCGCTTGAGCGGCATCATAATGGACCCTAATTGCATAAATATAATTTGAATTAACAATTAAGATTGCCGTTTTGCCTAATTGAATCGCCACTTTAGAGAGACAAATATAAAGTTTACTGGACCATTTTAAGAGGTAAAAATGGAACAAAGATGGTACACAGTTTTCTTTCTTTTCGCCAGTATTTAATTGTTGAGAGCAGAGAAATTATATGCGCATAAAGTAGGATGGGGCTAGATGGCGAGTTAGGGTTATCTTAAAAAGCAATTATTCAAATCACTAGCCGTCGATCAGGGAGACGCACTGTCACAAACTTCCACGTGAATTTCATTGCTGAACACGAATGTTGTATTGATTTTTTAAATTTATTAAGTTTTGTTGGCAATATCTTGGTTTTTTTTGTGAAGTGTGCCAGTGAGGGGCTATAGGTGGCGACTTTGTTACTATGAGTTATAAATATTGTTAACTTCATTGTTTTGTCGCATTTTCAGCTCCATGGTGCGGAAAAATATATTTAAAAACGCATAAAACCGAATGAACAATCTATTGAGGAAATATGTGCAGCTGTTCATGATGGTTCAAAAATATTAACTGCGAGGAATGAGATTTAGTTTTTAGTTTGTTTTATCCAAATTAATCTATTTATATAAAGCATTCATTTTACAGACAAAAGCATTTTTAACAAATAAAAGGAACATTTTATACAGACTTGTGATTTCCATGTGACATAAACAGGGTTCGAACTAGATACGTAAATCCCGTAAAAGTCCGTAAATTTGCTTGAAGTCCGTAAAAGTACGTTTGTTTGAAAAAAGGTCCATACAGTAAATGCCTGAAATTACAACACCCTAAAGAAATCTTTATAATCGAGAAATATGTATGTACTTAAGTGTGTAAGGCCTTGAATTCGGTTTTCTCTTTTTAAAAATACTTTTTCTTATAAGTTTACAAGCAATCCGATTTATGTTTACACTATTCGTCTTATAAATAATAATTGACTTTTGTTTCTTTTCCAGATGGTACAAGCAATCCAAGTCCTCCGGTTTCACCTCCTTGAACTCGAAAAGGTAAGTCTCCTCTTCAGAATTATTCCACTGTACTCGAAAATTGAGCCAGCTTATCTAAAAAAAAGGGGGGGAAATAAGAAAATTAAATGTTTTTGAGAGAAATTAAAAATGGTAAAACACAGGAAGAATTCGTTTTCCGCGAGATTGGCCAATATGGCGTCGTCCATGTATGAGATACATTTACACCTGGGAACAACTGTTATGACAGGAGCAATTTTCCGTAATTGTAGTGAAAGCCCGACGCACCACTACGTCCGTATAGTTAGAGCCAGCATTCTAAGTGGAGTGATTTAACTATATCCGATGGACGTTAAAGAGCCTAGGAAATTGCCTCGTTTTCTAGCCGTTTACTCTCGAACACCTCCCTTCTCTCTCTGTAAGAGAAAACCAAACTATAAAATTGTCCTTTATTTAGAAAGTTAATGCCTCTTCTCAGATAGCAAGTAATCTTGTGGCAATCTTACAGTGCAATAATTACCAAGCTTTCATAGCAAGCTTTTTAGTAGCAAAATATTCTACAAGCTTACGAAAGGTTTTTCTAAGTTTTACTTAAAAAAAAAAACTCTTTGCTGCAAGCTTGCCGCAAGATTACAGGCTACCCGAGTTGTATCAAATTGCATGTGATGGTAATTATAAAGTTTCTTTTTTATTGCAATTTGCCAGTCTTTTGTTAAAATATATATTCCTGAGAATCGAAAAGCCTGGGGACGTCCTATTACGTTTTCTGCCGGGATATTTTATAATACAAAATAGCAGACATCCATCGAAATAACTGTTGTCCTGTCGAGGACTCGCTGCCCTTACTGTGCACCGGTTTATCATGCAATTTTATAGCAATTCTCCTCATTTACGGCGATTACATTATATTCCGAGCTCCGGGTTAAAATGTACATATTGTTGCGAGTTTGCGAGTATTTACGTACAATACTCTGAACGGAAAAGATTCGAGAACAATGTAAACAGAAGATTATGTTAATCTGATGATTTCAATTAACGTATTCAATCCTTTAAAAGATCTAACATGACAGACTATAAACTAGGTCCAGTTAGAATTTTGATAAAACAGCGCATTCCATTTGAAGAATTTTGTTGGCATAAATTTTGCTAGGTACGTTCTTATAATTATGCGAATTTGGATTTTCAAATGATGGAAAATGATGATATAAAGAATACTTCTTGTCATCTCTCGAGAAAGAATAATGATTTTAATGTTTTTTAGAATTATTATTTTTCAGCTATATTTGCTCAGACTTACATTGAATAATTTATGAAAGTCGCTTTTTTTAAAATGAAATTCAGGGGCTAAAATTAAGCACCATCGAACACATGTGAAAATTCCATACATGCCTATCGTTCATTGGAGAAGAATTTCAATGGCCGGAGGTGCTTGTGATGCGTTTAACATTTTTGAGCCAATCGGGTATTAGCATAATTACGTTTCTTCGTGGCTGAAGGGAAGGCATCATGGCGACGAAGACATCGTTGATGGGTTTAGGGTTGTGTTCAAATGCTGATCCTTATACTTCCTCTTACACTATTCTTGCACACTTGTGTGTATATGCGAAAATACAAAAACACATACATACATACAGAAAAGAAGCAGACATCGGCAGATGAAGAGCGGTACACTTCTTATAACGCATTATAGCGTTGAGTACATACGAACGAGATTCATACTGCTAGGACACAACTCTCTCCCCTTTGTGGTTGCGGTAAGAACTGGTTCTAAAGTCTAAACCCTCGTCTTTCTATCCTCCTCTTAAATTCCCAAGGACAAATTTTAGGTCACAAATAATGAAATCATTTTTTTAAGCATTCATTTCAAAATCGTTCATTTTCTGCTGCATCAAATGTGATAAATATTGACGCCTCGCTTCTGTTAAAATACTCTTTCAAAACGTCAATGCACTCGGGGGAAAAATTTATTTCCCTTATCCAAGCTGTTTCACTACCCTGTTTCATTTGTTACCATAAAATGGTTTTTTTCATTCAAATAATTCCCAGGTGGAAAAGTTAACGTTAGACTAATGTTACTAACTTTAGACTAACGTTAGACTAATGTTAGACTAATGTTAGACTAATGTTAGACTAATGTTAGACTAATGTTAGACTAATGTTAGATTAATGTTAACTAACGTTATAATCTGATATTAGTGATCAAAAAGTGTCGTTAGACTAACGTTAGCCTAATGTTAGTCTAACATTAGTTAACGTTAGTAGCATTAGCTAACGTTACCTAACGTTAACTTTTGTATTATTCGATGCGGAATATTCAAGATGATGACACTTGTAATCCAATATTATTCTTGAAAGACATTTTTTTCACGGATCCTAAAGCCAATTTATAATTTAAAATTCAAAAAAAGTTGGTATTTTAAAAAATTTATTGAAATTGTTTTTAAACGTGTTTCTATTTTAGAAAACGAAATTATGACATTAAACAAACTTTTGTTCCAATTGTTTATCGAATGCTTCTTTAAAGGAGGACGCCTCCCATATATTTATGGCTGGTCATATATGCGTAGATTAAATTCCTTCTGTCCTTGTTTAATTGGCCATAAAATGGGAATAATCTTCAGTTACAAATGACTGTGGCTCCCAAACATCGTTCGTATGTGAGAAATCTTCCCCAGATTCCAAAACAAATATTCTTACATCATAAAACTGAACAAGATACTGCAATTATATTTTAATGTAAATTATTATATCTCTAAGTTATTAACAATTTTTTCCACTTTCTTAGAGATTCTTGTTTGGTTTTGAATCGTTTGTTGTAACTTAAGTGTGTTCCGAGTGATATGATACAGGGAGGGTAAAAAGTCGATCAAATTCCCGGAAGCGAAACTGATCTTAGGGTCCTTGCGTGATCTATCGATGCGTCCCTGTTTCCCGCCATAATTTAGCGAGTAAAGAAAGTCGAGGAGGAATCTTTTGAATGCTGTCATCTGTATCATACTCATAGACTAATAATTACACTGTTGTGTGACAAAAATCAAATTTGAATCATTGTTATCACCAGTCTAAATTATAACCCTTTTTTACTTCTATTGAACTTGTTTTAAATTCCACTAAACTTTTCTTGAACCTTTCTTGATTCTAACTAATTGGTTTTAAATCTCCAATTTTCTATTGTTATTTTAAAGATATAAAAAGGGAGATTTAAAAGAGGGTCTAAATTTCAACTCGGAAATGTTGACAAGAATCCATAGACATGAGAGATTATTAGAATCCTTACTACAACCTGAAGAAGGATGATTGCTGATAGTATATAGTTGAACAGAAAACAGGTACACAGTTTGCGAATCATGGCGGCAAAGGCATTGTGAACGAATCGATATCTCACTATCGAATATCGTGCACTTTGTTTCTTTTCTTCTCGGGGCGTTGTCGATCGGTTTGACTCGACTCCTGCACGCTGGATCAAATTCTAACCAGTCCAGCATTATAGCCGGTGTCCTTCGAATTCTATATCTTTCCTTTTCCACAATCTCTTTCCTCAAGCGACTTTAGTCATTTCCAGACATTGTGTTACGCCTTCCACCTTAAGAGAAATTGTTATTGTAGAAGAGGGATCGTGGTCCAACAGAAGTAAAAAAAAGAAAAATGTCGCATTAGTTGATGTCTACAGTCATGTATACAATAATGGAGAATAATGACATTGTAGGTGGACTCTCTAGATCAAGGGCAAGAAACCTTTTAAGATAGTAATCGTTAGATGGAAATTGAAGTTCTTTTACTGAAAGCGAATTTTCGGGGAAAATTTAAACGAAATAAATAGAAAATGTCTATATTACATTTCCTAGGGCTACTTCAAGAAACATCTCCTTTAACAAATGCATTTTGATTATTTTGGTTTAAATGCAGGGTTGTCACGAAATCTGGAAAACCTGGAAATTGCAGGGAATTTTATAAACATTGAAAAAACCTGAAAAAGTCGGAATTTTGATCGAAATCCTGAAAAATTGTTTTCTAAAGTTATTGCACGGAGAGAGAATATATATTAAATTTTGTAAAAATATTTTCAAATTGGGGAAAAAGTGCGACAAAGCGAAATTTTGATATCAAAAAATACTAAACTTTAAAAAAACTTATGTGAAATTTAGTATAATTATATCAAATATCAAGAATATTAATTAAATTCTAATATAACTTTACTAAATTTCATATAAGTTTTTTTAAAGTTTAGTATTTTTTGATATCAAAATTTCGCTTTGTCGCACTTTTTCCCCAATTTGAAAATATTTTTACAAAATTTAATATATATTCTCTCTCCGTGTGGGTTTATTCTTGAAATCTAATTTTACTTAAATATTTCAAAACTAATTCAATTTTAAAAGAATTGCGTTTACAATTTTCATAAGTAGATGAACTTCAAAAGGTTTTAATTTGGAATTTTGTAAAATTTCAATTTTCAATGAATTTCATTAGAAATCTTGAAAAATTTAATAATTCAAATTCTTCCGCAATTAGTTACATTTTTTTAATATATAGCTATTTAAACTAGTTATTAAAAAATAATTAATTTATAGAAGAATTTTAGTTGAAAACCCTAAAAGAAATTTTTTGAAGCAATTACTAATCTAATGTTTGCAGAAATCCAATTATTTTCAAAAGTAGTAAAATTCTTCTCTGAAATTCAATTATTTTCGAAAATTTTAATAAAATTCTTCGCAAAAGTTCCAAATTTTTCAAAAACTTTCCTCAATTCAATGATTTTTAATATCTACTACTTTAATAAAATTTTTCAAAAGAATTCAATTATTTAAAATAAATTTTTATAAAATTCTACGCAAACATTTAATTGTTTTCATAAATTAAAAAATTTCACAAGAATTCAATTACTTACAAATTATTTTCATAAATTGTTATTGAATTATTTTCAGAAATAATAGCATTTTCTACAAGGATTCAATTATTTTCATAAATAATAAAATCCTTTTTTGGAATTCAATTATTTTCATAAATAATAAAACTCATCACAGAATTTCAATTATTTTTAA